TCCAAAAATGCTTTGGGATCATCCTTCATTGCCACAAGGAACCTCCATGCCTCTAACCCTCCTCGTCTTCAGAAGACTGGTAGGTCATTATTTCCATGTCCACATGACACCTAACTACCTTATCTTTAAGTGAAAACATATGTTATGTCGGTTATATAACTGTTGTGGGTTTTTCAATTTTTTTCTCATTTTTTTGTGATTACAGAATCTCAGATTTATAAATCACAGTGTGCCATTTAGCCTTGTGTTGGTAGGTTCTCTTGTTGTAGTGAAATGAACTACAGTTACGTATTTCTCTTTTGATATTGGTATAGCTTCTTTGTTGTGATAATGCTCCTTGGGTAGAAACAAAAAATATACATACTAGGCAGTGGGTACCCTTTCTGATCTATGAAAGATTTTTTTTTCCTCTCCTAAAAAGCATTAGAGAAAAGTAGGTAAATCTAATCTATAGATTTTTTCAAAGCAGATAGTTGCTACTCTATACTTGGCAGTCTTTGAATTTGCACATTGCAAATGTGATAGAGAAGGCCGGATTATTTTCTAATTGAATTTTGCTCTCTCAATAGGCACTGCTGAGGTGTCCTCTATTCTTGAAGAGCGTATTCTTGGAGCTGATACCTCTGTTGACCTTGAAGAAACTGGGCGTGTCTTAAGTATTGGTGATGGTATTGCCCGAGTACATGGGCTGAGGAATGTACAAGCAGAAGAAATGGTCGAGTTTTCTTCTGGCTTAAAGGTAGATTATAAAGTGAGATTTTGGTGTTTTAGGATCTGTGTCTTCTCAGTTATTCATAAGCAGTTCAGAAATTGTGTCAGGTTTTTTAAAACGTTAAGTCTCAATTTGCTTCAGGTTTTTTTCTTGTCATTAGATTGTAAAGAGAATAAACTTAACGGTTTTGATTAGCCAGATTTTTTACTCTTGCAGTTGATTACACATAAGTTGTTGCCACTGGCTCCAAGATATAAAATTGATTTAACTTTTACCTAAGTTACAAGAAGTTCAAGTCTGTTCTTACTAGCCATTAAGATCATTTTATACAAAAGTATTTGGTAATTTTAGCTACATTCATTTCTGCTGGAGAGTTGAAAGTCAGTGACTCTGTATTTCTAGTAAGAGTAGACTTATTATTCTTAAAAGGTGAGTTAGCCGTGTAGCTATCTGAAGCTCCCTGATGATACAGGTCTACTCCCTTCTATTAGGTTTAGCCTAGTCAGTCAGTGGGATGAGAAATAAAAGTTGTAGGTAGGAGTCATTGTCTCTGCAAGAAAAGCAGAGGATGATATCTGGGTGGATCAGGGCAGTAGGACTATCAACTGAGCACACAGATACGGGGGAGGATAATTTTGATCCTCCATCTAGTGTTCAGTTTGGAATAAGAGCCACTTGATGTGGAAGACAAATTGTAGAGCCCAAAGTTATCATTAGCTGTAGGACCTTGAATAAAAATTTAACCTCTCTTACTTTCAATATATGCAGTAATCCATCCTTATTCATGGGGGATTCTTACCTTGTCCGCAGAGGATACATTCCAAGACCACTCCCAATGGATGCCTGAAACTGCAGATAGTACCAAACCCTATATGCACTTTGTTTTTTTCCTATATGTACACATACCTATGATAAAGTTTAGTTTATAAATTAGATATAGATTAATGACAATAACTAGGGCTGGCTGGTTAGTTCACTTGGTTAGAGCATGCTGTTGATAACATCAAGGTCAAGGGTTTGGATTTCCATAATGGCCAGCCACCAAAACCAAAACACGTATGTATACTGTTCACAATTTCATGGATAGATTTGTTCTTAACCATAGATCTTAGCAACCTCAGCGTACATTCAAGGTCAAGGGTTTGGATTTCCATAATGGCCAGCCACCAAAACCAAAACACGTATGTATATTGTTCACAATTTCATGGATAGATTTGTTCTTAACCATAGATCTTAGCAACCTCAGCATACAAGTTTTCTTTCCTTTTAAGTTGAGAACTCTTCACTTAAGGGAAGCACTTTCAGGCTTCTCTTTGGCATATCTGAATTGTCAGCATCACTACTCTTGTGCCTTGGGGTCATTCTGAAGTAAAATGAGGGTTAGTTGAACATGAGCACTGTGGTACTGTGACAGTCCATCTGATAACAGGGCTACTAAGTGACTAACGGGCAGGTAGCGTGTATAGTGTGTACACAGCAGAGTGGTGTGAGATTTCATCATGCTTCTCAGAATGGCGTGCATTTTAAAACTTAAGAATTGTTTCTTTTTGGAATTTTCTGTTTAATTTTGGGATTGCAGTTGACCACTGGTACCTGAAATTGAGGAAAGCGAAACTGGATAAGGGGGACTACCATATATTTTTAGAAAGTTAGGTTGAAATAGATAAATTGTGAATTTCCCTTTAACTTTTCAGATCCAAGTATCTAGAACAGTACTGTCCAATAGGACTTTTTGCAGTGGTGGAAATGTTTTAGGCCTGTGCTGTTTAATACAGTACCTATTATACAGATAATGAGCATGTAAAATGTGGCTAGTGTGACTGAGGAACTGAATTTTTAATTTTTTAAATTTGATTAAATTTAAATTTAAATAGCCACATGTAGTTAGTGGATACCATATTGAAAATTAGATATAGGCTGAAGTTTTTGTACTGCAATGATACTCCATCATACTCTTCTGTATTTATTTTAAGTACTTCCCTTGAGCTTTCATTACTGACTGGACACTGTTCCTGGAATAGCCTTTTGCTTCTGACACGAGTTAGGAACCTAAAATCTTACCAATTTTAGATCTAGTTGTAATCATGAGAGATGACTTGGTGCTCTTATGTTATGAAAATTTGTTCTTGATTGGCTACAATTGGGTAGCTTTTAATAATTTCACTTTCTATTAACCCAAGGAATACAGGTTTTCTTTCTTTTTCGGCCGGTACAGGGATCCAAACCTGTGACCTTAGTGTTACCAACACCATGCTCCAAGTGAGCTAACTGGATGGAATACAGGTTTTGATTAGATAATTCCTTGTACTGTTTATGGAGCTTCTGATAGATAAAAAGGTGTAAATCAAATGTATTTTAAAATTTCCATTTGACCCAAATCACTTTATTTTGTAGTGATCACCCAGCTCAAATGCCCTAGCCAAAGGCAATGCAGTGGGAAAAAACTTAACCTGGCCAATTTCTTTGCTGCTTTTAGTTCTTCCAGGACGTGATGATGAGCATGTTAGGCTTACCCTAGTGCTATCCTAAGATTATCCAAGGGAACATGTTGATATTTTAAGTCTTAACCAAAGAAGGTTGTGTATTAATTGGAAAAATAGTCAAGTAAACCAGATGAAAAGGACAATACAGTACTGCTTTTTTTCCCATCCCCCATTTTCATATCATGTAATATTGGTGTATAGGAAGGAATGTCGCAGCTTCATTGGTGTTCATTTGTGTCTTTTGTATAGGGTATGTCTCTGAATTTGGAACCTGACAATGTTGGTGTTGTCGTGTTTGGAAATGATAAACTAATTAAGGAAGGAGATATTGTGAAGAGGACAGGAGCCATTGTGGATGTTCCAGTTGGCGAGGAGCTATTGGGTCGTGTAGTAGATGCCCTTGGTAATGCCATTGATGGAAAGGTAGGTTTAATGTTCATTAGATGTGGTTGCAGCTTCTAACAAACATCAAAAGTGATTATTCTCAAGGTTCTTTTTTATTATTATTATTATTATTTTTTACAGGGTCCAATTGGTTCCAAGACTCGTAGGCGAGTTGGCCTGAAAGCCCCTGGAATCATTCCTCGAATCTCTGTGCGGGAACCAATGCAGACTGGCATTAAGGCTGTAGATAGCTTGGTGCCAATTGGTCGTGGTCAGCGTGAGCTGATTATTGGTGACAGACAGACTGGGTAAAGACTCAAAAGCCTTTTAAAAGTTTTTAACTAAAATTGCTCAATGGGAAAATTACTTTTTAGTCTAGAAATGGTAAATGCTTTGGATATAAAAGGGGCAGTAGAATGTGATGTGAGGATTAGTGAAGTCCTTTGAAGTATTTAGTAAGGTTTATGTTTACTTTCTCTTTTTAAAGGAAAACATCGATTGCTATTGACACAATCATTAACCAGAAACGTTTCAATGATGGATCTGATGAAAAGAAGAAGCTGTACTGTATCTATGTTGCTATTGGTCAGAAGAGATCCACTGTTGCCCAGTTGGTGAAGAGACTTACAGATGCAGGTATTAAAGAACTTTAGTCCCATTGCTGTTCTGCTGCTGCTAATCTATTGAACAGCTTCTACTTATTGAAGGTTGATTTTAATTACTTCCTAATGAGCTGCACTTTCTAATATAAATCAATAAGTAAAACAGAAACAATAAGTAAAAAATAAATATGTATAAAACTAGTAAATCTAAAGCTTTTGTCAGTTTTTTTAAAGTGGAGGCTATTTGACTCAGGTTAATTTTTAATAGTAAAATCTTTTTAGCACTTAAATAATTTTTATTGTAGTATCTTCTGATTTTAAATTACAATGTTGATAACCCTGTAAAACTTATTTTTTCCTTAGATGCCATGAAGTACACCATTGTTGTGTCAGCTACTGCTTCTGATGCTGCCCCACTTCAGTACCTGGCTCCTTATTCTGGCTGTTCTATGGGAGAATATTTTAGAGATAATGGCAAACATGCATTGATCATCTATGACGACTTATCCAAACAGGTCAAAGGAAAAATATTTTTAGAATCTGTGTATTAGCACTACAATCACACTTGATTTCTGCAGCTTTTAATAGGTGAACTTCACGACCCTCTTCTGTACCGTAGGCTGTTGCTTACCGTCAGATGTCTCTGTTGCTCCGCCGACCCCCTGGCCGTGAGGCATATCCTGGTGATGTGTTCTACCTACACTCCCGGCTGCTAGAGAGAGCAGCCAAAATGAATGATGCTTTTGGTGGTGGTTCCTTGACTGCCTTACCAGTCATAGAAACACAGGCTGGTGATGTGTCTGCTTATATTCCAACGAATGTCATTTCTATCACTGATGGACAGGTATTATTTAAATGATTAAAGTAAGCATTAAAAAAAAGTTTGGGCACTCCCAAGACATTGCTTGAGACTAGTGGTTATGAACTGATTTGTTAAATGCCTTTTACTTTTTATTATGGAAAATTCCAAACGTGTACAAAAATAAGGAGAATAGTATGAAGGTACTTCAAAAAGTTCATGGAAAAATAAAATGAAAAGATAATACGAATCTTTCCATGAACTTTTGAAGTACCCTCCTATAATGAAACCACATGTGTCACTCAGTAATCATTTCATGGAGTAGTGTGTTTTGTTCTTGTTTTATTTATACCCACTACTATTCTTCACCCCTAGATAATTTTGAAGCACATCCCAGAGATCCTTATTACTTCACTTGTATATATTTCAATATAAATACATTATCTGTTTTTTCTCATACACACTTCCTTATCTCAGCAATAGGATATATAGGTCGATTTGGGTTGTGAAAGATTTGGGGGACTCTACCATAAGCAGACTCTTAGCATTTTTCCTCAGATTTTAGACTTTAGTTTTTTGGCACAGTGACTTAACTTTGAAAATTAATGATTTCTTTACTTTAAGATTGCTAGCATGTGTATTCTCCTTACATTGTAGATCTTCTTGGAAACAGAATTGTTCTATAAAGGTATCCGCCCCGCCATTAATGTTGGTTTGTCTGTGTCCCGCGTCGGATCTGCTGCCCAAACCAGGGCTATGAAGCAGGTAATTTTGTATCATTGTAGCAGGGTTGGAGTATATTATTAAGTTAAAATCTTACAGTATATTGACTATTTGTGTGGTGCTCTTTGTCATTGACTTTCAGTACCAATAATTTCTGTATTTCAGGTGGCAGGTACCATGAAGCTGGAATTGGCTCAGTATCGTGAGGTTGCTGCTTTTGCCCAGTTTGGTTCTGACCTCGATGCTGCCACTCAACAACTGTTGAGTCGGGGTGTGCGTCTGACTGAGTTGCTGAAGCAAGGACAGTATTGTGAGTTCTTTTCTTCATTTGGTCAAGTTTCTATTGTATGTTAGGGTCTTCCCAGGCCCACAGAGCTACATCATGTATCACGGACTGTAATGTGTGCTGTTATCTTTCATCAGTTAATTGAGTAATTAATCATTAATTAAGCAATCAGTTAAGTAATGTGCAATTAATGCATACATTACATAACTAAAGTACAGTTCTTATCACCATTTGAATGTAAATGTTACAAACTTAATAATCAGGAAAATTTACTAAGTAAATTCCTTTTAGGAGTTAAAACCTCTTATATTCCTCTACCTGCTTAGTGGTATGATTGTGGAATTTGGCAGATTTAAAAGAATGTTAGTTGTTTTTATTTAACCCAAAATTTTCAGCTAATTATTTATACCCCAAACACTGCCAGATTATAAATAGTGCTTATGTGCTATACCGAAAGATTACACATCAAGGCTTGCATATATAAGAAAAAACTGTTCCCTGGGAAGGGAGGTGGGAAGGAGTATTAAGTGGAGTTCTAGGTCTGTGAGAATGTAAGCATAAGTGATATATAGGGACGTATTAGTAATTAGAGGAAAAAACAAGTTTCTTTGACTTTATTAACATATCAACTCACTTGACATTCTTTGTTTCTTTTCAGCTCCTATGGCGATTGAAGAACAAGTGGCTGTTATCTATGCAGGTGTAAGGGGGTATCTTGATAAACTGGAGCCCAGCAAGATCACAAAGTTTGAGAATGCTTTCTTGACACATGTTGTCAGCCAGCACCAGGCCCTGTTGGGCAATATCAGGTATGAATGCAGTTGATGGCCTTTTTTTTGTAAACAGCTAAGTTCTAGGATAAGCTCTTTAGAATTCTTTTCAATTCTGTAGTTAGGTTGGTCATTCAATTTATTCTTTTTTTTTAAATTTATTTTTTATTAATTTTTTTTTTTTATATTCTATGATGTTGCAAATTAGTTGGGAGGAAGAGGAGGGGGAAAGGAGAAGGAAAAGGGATGAAAGGAGAAGGGGAAGGGGCAGGCTTGAGGCCTGTGACACCCTCCTCATTCGCACACGGGAGACCAGGGGGCTTCCAGTGGTGGCTTGGTCACTGCTGGGGTGGGTGTAGCAAAAGCCTTCAGCCACTACAACCCCAGTTCGGGAACCCAGGGCCCTTCTTGCTGTGGCATGGTGGTCATTGCTGGGCTGGTTTCACATGTCAGAGGGCATGGTCGAGGCCCTCGGCCCCCCATCACCCCAGCTCAGGAGAGCCTGGGGTGCTTCCTGCAGTGGCTTGGTGGTTGGTCACTGGGGTTGGGAGGTGGGGTGCGGCCAAGGCCCTGCCCCCACCTTCGGGACTGGTTGTGGGTGTCAGGGGGCATGGCTGAGGGCCTTGACCTTCCCCCTTTCTGGCTTGGTAGCCCAAGGGACTTCCAGTCCTTCTAGGTGTTATAGGTGTTCTTTGGTGAAATGAGACCTTTACTACTTAATATCAAACTTTTTCTCTGGTTGTTGGTATTTTGTTTCTTCTTTCAGTTTTCTGTTGGATTATTTGCTGTTCCCACCACTTAAACTCTGTGCTGGAACTAATTTGTTGTCCTTTGCTTCTAAAACGGGGGAACTCCCTGTGGGGACCAGTACTTGAGCTCTTTGGTTGAGCTAAATTGCTGCTTTGCTGCTGATTCCTAGGGAAGGCTGTTTGTGCAGTTCAGGTTTTAATGGTTGACCTTATAAGTACTTCCAGGTCTTGTGAGATCCGGTGTACCTGGGTTCTGTGGAAACTGTGGTCCGAGCCTGAGTCTTTTCATCAAACTGCACCCCATGCAACTCTATATTCCTGACCAGTCTCCTCTGAGTGGTCCTGCGCTGATTGGGAGACAGAGCAGCTGTCCTTGCTGTGCCCCATTGTTCCCCCGGTGGGCCTGTCTCCCCCATTGCCTGTGTTCCAAACACTTCCTATAGGGCGGGCCATGTGCCAGTCCCCTGCGATGACTTACAGGCCTCTGAGTGACTCCTTTTTTTCAGTTGTGGCTCCTTGTTTCTTTGTGGGTCTGTGGGAACCCTGTTAGTGGTCTTGCTGGCCTGAGAGCCACCAAGGTCCTCTTCTCCCCTGCTGCCTCCAAGCAACTTCATCCAAAGGGCACAGCTGTGGCTTTTGCCAGCTCCTACCCCGTGTGCTCGGCAGCTCCAGCCTAGAGGTGGTCAGGATTTGAAATAGTTGGAGTGGTTTTTTCTTTCTCTCATCATGGCTTCTCCCGCTTTCATATACTACGTAGGTCTCTCCTCCTCTTCCCCTGAGCTCTCATACCCCCAGCTTAGCAGTCGTTGCTTTTTCATAGTTGTAAATGGGTTGATTTATGGGAGAGAATGACGCTGGGGACCGTCTATTCTGCCATCTTGACCAGAAGTTGGTCATTCCTTCAATTTTTTCTCTAGGTCAGAACTGATGGTCTGCTTTTATTTCCAAATAGGGCTGATGGAAAGATTTCTGAAGAGTCAGATGCAAAGCTGAAAGAGATTGTAACAAATTTCTTGGCTGGATTTGAAGCCTAAATGCCTATGGATTTACAACACATACTGGTTTGGTTTTGTCATCATTTCTTCTAGTAAATCAGTTTCATTTGTAAAAGAATTACTCTCAAACTCCTGATGTACAGAAATCACATTAAAAATAAAAGTTCGGTATCGTGTGTTGGTTTTCTGTAGTTTGTGTTATTGTTGTTTTTTTTGGTGGCCAGCAGGTAAGGGAATCTGCACCCTTCATTTTGGTGTTATAACATTGTGCTCTAACAACCTGAGTTGGCTGGCCTGCCCTTTTGTGTTTTTATTTGTTTTGGCGGCTGCCCTGTTGACCTTGGTTTTATAACATTGTGTTTAAAACGACTGAGATTACATTGAGGAATTGGTAAACATGCTTCTTAACCTATTTTACTTGAGTATTAGTACAATCAGCAGAGCTAAATAATTCAAGGTTGAGCTCTTTTTCAAGTTTCTAGAGTACTTTGTGGTAGGTGAAAGAAAAATTGACAAACTGGATGACTGTATATGTGGCAAGTTGACAATATTGAAGAGCCTGATTGGCTTCTCTACCCAGAAGAACTATCTGTGTAAAGATACAGTGGGCAGGGAAAGAATAGGACAACTAAAATTCTCAAGGGAATGAAAAATTGGTAAGTGGAATATGAAGAATGGGGATAAAAACTGAGGTGATACCAATAAAGAGAACTGTGGAAAAGTATCTGGATCTCATTGTGTGGTTTGTTTTAACATATCCTTTCATAAGCAGCAGTTCTTAATTATAATCATACTGTTAGTATTTATTTATTTTTATTTTTTATTTTTTATTTTTTTGTCTTTTTGTCTTTTTCCGTGTCCGGCAATGGATCGCAACCCTCAGTGTTGCCCCCGTACCGGACCGGGGACCGGCAACGGGATTGCAACCCTCGGCGTTGCTCCTGCGCCTCGCTCAGCCAGTGAGCTGGAACCGGTCTGTATGTGGGATCCGAACCCTCGGGCGGGAGCGCCGCCGCGCTTCCCAAACGGCGCACTATGCAGTGCGCCACCGGGCTCTCCTGAGAAGTAGAACCAATAGGATGTGCGTGTGTGTGTGTGTGTACATTATATATATATACATATATATATATATATATATATATAATATACACACACACACACAATGTACACAGTATTGTGGGGGCTGGCAAGTTTGAAAGGGCAGGTGGGCAGGCTGGAGACCCAGAGAAGTTCTTAGGCCTTTAGATGGATGAAGCACACTCACATTGTGGAGGGTAATATGCTGTACTGAAAGTCTACTGATTTAAACATTAATCACATCTAAAATTCCTTTGTAGTAGACTAGACTGGTGTTTGGCCCCAAACTATTGTGATGTAATAAAAACATTTTGGGGCCGGCCTGGTGGCGCGCTCGGTAGAGTGTGGTGGCGCTCCCGCCGAGGGTTCGGATCCCATACAGAGACCGGTCCGCTCACTGGTTGAGCGCAGTGCAGGCGCAACACCGAGGGTTGCGATCCCGTTGCAGGTCGCTGTACGGGCGCAACACCGAGGGTTGCGATCCCATTACCAGTCACGAAAAAAGACAAAAAGGAAAAAAAAAACATTTTGGTCTTCATTCTTAAATCCTGGCACACAGCTTCTAAAACCCTTGGAAACTGCAGTGTTATAAGTGTCTTTTTGTATGAGAATGAGGTCGCTGATGTTGGGGATCCTGGACATCCTCAGGATAGGGCTTTGTTGCCGGGGTAACCAACCAAGTGATTAGAGGGTTTGAACTTTCAGCCTTTTCCCTGTCCTCCAACTAGGCCAATGATTTAATCAATCACCCACGTAATGAAACCTCCATAAAAACCCAATTGGACAGGATTCGGAGAACTTCCAGGCTGATGGGAGGTGCTGGGAGGATGGTGTCCCTGGAGTGGTGAGAAAGCTCCATGCCCCTTCACCCACACTTCTCCCTGTACATCTAGTTTCTGAGTTGTATCCTTTTAGAATAAACCCATAATTTAGTAAGTATACTATTTTCCTGAGTTTTATGATCAGTCATTGCAAGTGATCAAACCTGAGGGGATATTGTGGAAGCTTCTGACTTATAGTATGTAGGTCAGAAGCACAGGTGACAGCCTAGGTTTGCAATTGGTGTCTAAAATTGGGGGCAGTCTTGTGGGACTGAGCCCTGAACCTGTGGGATCTAATGTTATTTCCAAGTAGGTAGAATTGGGTTAAATTGTAGGACACGCAGTTGGTGCCCACAGAATCAGAGAACTGCTTGGTGGGGAAAACCCCACACACACGGTGTCAGGAAGTGAAGTATTGAGAGAATTGTTGATATAGAAGGAAAAGCAGTGTTTTTTCCTATATATATCCTAAACAAATCGGCACAAAATTAACCCACATTTTTTTTTGTAGAGGTTAGAAATACATTTAATTTTCATATGCATATCCAATTTTTTCAGTTCCACTTATTAAATGGTTCTTACTAAGGTTTCATCTATGCCTGGATCTTTCTGTATTCTATTTGCTCCATTTTAAAATTGTTACATATGTATATAATTTAAAGTATCAGACAAGTTGTACAAGGCTGTTCATGAAAATGGTAATTCCTTGCCTACTCCCAACCTTTTCCTCCTTTCTGAAAGCAACCAATTTCTATTTATTTTGTCAGTTGTCTCCATATTGTAGTTATTATGTCACCTCTTACATATGTATAATATATTGATTTCACCCAAGGGATGATGAGAATTTTGCATGTGCATACTTAATACACCACACACCCCACCATAATTTTATTATGACCATATGAACAGGTTATGATTTAGGATAAAGCAATTCACAGTTGCAATTTCTTTGACCTTAAAAGCTGTTTTTGGCTAAGCCGTGTGATATCACTAATTTAACCCCAAATCTCCTCTTGTTCATATTAATGTGTTTAAACATAACAGACATTCTACAAGTTTCATCTTGAAAATGTTTCTCAGACCCTCTTGGTTGGTGGTGCTGGTGGGCTGGTATATACTCTGTTGTGTTGAAGAACTAGTGTTGCAGTTGCTAAAGCTATTTGGATTACTGATTCCTTTAATTGTGAATTTTTATTTTGATATATCTTTGTGTAGGTCTACTTTTATTCATTGTGCTGGAGCACTTGATGGTTTCTTTAAATATGGCAGTGCATATCCTTTAATTTGGAATATATTTTCTGTTTTCCATTTTTTCTGTTCAGCATCTCTTTGAATTATTGGATTCCTGAACTGGTTCTCTAGGGTTCTTTTTTTCCTCTTTTTTATTTTAGTTTTATCCCTTTACTTTCTGAAAAATTTTTTCAACTTTGTTTTCTAACAATTCGATTGCCTTTTTCCTTTTTGGTCTTTTAAATTTCTGAGAACTCTTGATCTAAAAGTTCATTTTACATCCTGAACTTGTTTTGCGACTATAGTACCTTCCTCGATGAGATTGATGGTAACCGTTTGTTGAAGTGTTCATTAGCATGCAAAGTCTGCTTCCTGTAAGATTTTGGATTTTTTCCCTTTATTTTAAGTTCTATTTGTCCCCTTGTGTTTTGGCAGATGTTTTTTTCAGGAAATCTTGACTAGTTCATATTTTAGAGTAGGACACTGAAAATGTTGATTAGATGATCTATGTCTGTGGGTGGGCTGTCAATTGTAGATTTACTTACTGTGGGAACTGTAGGCTGCTTTTTGGGGAAACTTCCAATGTTAGTATCTTTAGATCTTTTCTTTGGAATGACTAGATTTCCACCTTCCTCCCCACTCTCCCCTTCCAGAGACTCCTGAGTTGTGCAACATTATTTCAAGTGTTCCTGTCTGTTTGCCTAGTATCTGGCTTTCTTGTGTCAGCTAGATCTTGCTTTCCAGCTTCCAAAATGTTAACTGTCATCTTCTCAGTTTCTTTGTCCTTGTAGGTTTATGCCTTAAAAAAAAAATCCCATTATAATGCTTTAAAAGAGTTTAGGTAAGGAGCAATGATAAAGAGTGATACTTTTTAAATAGAAAGTGAACATTTGGAATGTTTATCATTTTTTGTTATACTTTTTTGATCCTGCAGTCAACTTTCTTATACACATATTTATATATGTGTGCAAATGTTCCTGTATGATAAATCCCTGGAAGTGGAATGATTGAAGTTTTAATAAGTATTGACAAAATGATGGAACAACTAATACTGTTGACAGTTTATCAGCTGATTGGAGTGTGACTATTTTCATTATACTTTTCACCAACACTAGGCAGTGCTGTTTTCTTTAATTTTTGTCAGTTTGTGAGGCAGAAATTGGTCTAACTTGTATTTTTATTTATATTTTAATAGCTTTTTTATTTCTTCTATTACTAGCTTTTTATAGACTTTGTCCCTTCTTACTGAATTAAATTTTTACTGATCTATAAAAGCTTTTGTCTGTAAGGATCATGTTTTATAATGTTTCTAAAGTATTCAGGATTCCCCCATTTTATTTTGGTAATGGGGATTTGCTATACAGAAACTTCATTTTAACCAGTTTCTTTCTCTCCCCCTCCAATAAGTCAAAATATGTTTATTATATATGGATATGCTCTACTACCTTTAGTAGGAAAGGGGGAGTCCTTCAAGTACCAAATTAAATCTTTTTCAGTGCTTACAGGAACATTGGACTAAACAGCAGGTAGTTATTTCTGATTTTTGCTCTAGATATCTGAATCTCAAAATCACTTCTGGATCTGATTTTCCTTTTCTGGAATATGGTAGTCAATTTTGATTAGAAAGTTCTCGGGCTGGCCCGGTGGCGCACTAGCCGCTTGGGAAGCACGGCGGCGCTCCCGTCCGAGGGTTCGGATCCCACATACAGACCGGT